TTCATGTTTCTCCAGCCTCCTCGTTTCTCTCTCTCTCTTTCTTTCTTTTCTTTTTCTTTTCACTCTCTCATCATCATCGGGAGATATAACATGTCAAATAAAATCTCAATAAAAAAAAAACTTCCGTTACCCCTTCCAGCTACCCGTTTTTCTAGTCACTTTCCTTCCTGCCTTCCTTCCTTCCTTATTCCTTCCTCTCCTCTCTCATCTTCCCTTCCTTCCTTCCTTCCTCTCCCTAAATAGATTAGCCATTAGAAATATGGCTGTGATGCGTATAATTTCTCCACCCTTTCTCTCTCATTCTCATCTCCCTCTTTATTCCATCTTTCTGTTTCCTATTCTTATTCTCTCCTTTATCCTTCCTCTTTAATCTCCCCCCTTTTTTTTACTTACTCCTATTCTCTATGTCTTCATTTATTCCTTTATCACCATTTCCCCTCATCTTCCTTCTTTATTCTCCTTTACTCCCTTGTTTATTTGTTATTCTTTGTCTGTTTTAATGATTCTTTCATCTTCCTCTGTTCTCAGTTTTTTTGTTTTTACATCTCTAGTTATCCATTGTTTTACCTCTCTCTCTCTCTCTTTTACCTTCCTCATACCTCATTATCTTCTTCCTATCCCTTCCCTATTCCTTATTCCTCCTTCTCTCTCGTTTATTCACTTTAAATATCTTCCTTCTCATTTCCTCTACTTTTTTCTCATTTTAATTTTCTTATTTTAATTGCTTCCTTCTTTTTTTTAATTTACTTTCTCTTTTCTTTCTATTATCATCCAGAATAATTGTTTATGATCCTCAGGTGATGTGACGTTATGTGGTTAAGAGAGAGAGAGAGAGAGAGCACAACTCTCTCTCTCTCTGTTCGTTCTTGGCCTACCTCTTCATCTTCAATCCTCCACCTCCTTGCCAGCCTCCCCCCATTAGTACATGTACATTAGGCCTATATAGTATAGCCATGCACAGTAAACAAATTCTTATATTGGTTACGTAGGAAGTCAATTACTGGAAACAGGTGGGGGTGTTCTCGACACGTTTTATTGACATAGAAAAATATTTGTGCAACAGAAACAAATATTAATTATCAAGTTGTGCCTTGGGAGGAGGAGTGGCTGATTAAGCAATACTTATTTTATGGTGTTGAGACAAACTTTGTGTGTGTGTGTGTGTGTTTTGGAAACCTGACTAGTAATAAACGATCATGTAGGTCGTGAAATGAATATGTATATGAAAAAGGTTCGTACAAAACCTAACCTAACCTAACCTAACCTAACCTAACCTAACCTACTTTATGTATAATTTTGCTATTTTATGATAGTAAACGACGCCTTACATGAAACAGATCAAATTTTAGTCTCCCCCCAAAAAGTATAGTCAGCCATGGTGGTCGATGTGATTCAGAGACTTTCCGAGCAATGTTACTCGACCTGTTTTTATACGGTTGGTAGTACTACATCCGCGACCTTTGACCTTGAATGAGTGTAGACGTTTTTGAACGTTTTTGAAGTATCTAATATTCCAAACAAGGACGATTTCCTCTCCCAATCCTACCCCGCCCTCCCTATCTCTCTCTGTTGTTGATATAGCGAGTAGGCCTACCAACATATGATGATATACTGGGAATCATATTAGGGCATATCGTCTAGCGTTCCAAATCGTAGCGACGGAAAATTTAACGATACCTTTTGGGGGGAGAACTGTACTGTACAAATTAATTTAAATTGAGTTATGACAATAAAAAAAAAGTTTTCCCTATTTAGCAAAAACTTCAGTTGCTTTTAAGGTTCAATCGTCAATCACTTGTGCATTAACAATAAGCTTATTACGTGGGAAATGTAGCTTGAAAATGTATGTGTGTGTGCGTGTGTGTGTATGTGTGTGTGTGTGTGTGTGTTTATGTTTGTATGCGTAGGTGTTTGCAAATATGTATGTATGTATGTATGTATGTATGTATGTATGTGCGTGCGTGCTTACAAATTCACGTGGGAGCCGAGGCGTGTAATTTCTGGAAAGTGGCCAGAAAATTATAAGAGCTCACTGGGGGGAAGTTAGTGCTTGGAGTCCCTGTGAAAGTTTGCCAAGGGGATGTGAAGAAAGTAGGAACCTTTCTCTTTTAAGGGAAACTGGTAAAGAGATCGTACTTCCCCCCAAAAAAATAGAAAAACGACTTAAAACTGTAACACCATACTAAAAGTTTTTATATTGTCAAAGTTATTTTTTTTCTTTTAATCTTGTTGAAAGTTCGTACAACACCACGGAGGGAACACCTGGGTTATCTGTGTACTGGCAACTTTGTCTTAGAGAGTTTTAGATTGGAAAGAGAAACTTGTAACTCTCTCTCTCTCTCTCTCTCTCTCTCTCTGGTAGATGGCGGTGGGAGCAGTGACTTTCATAATGAACTATCAACACCACTCCACTGTACTGTACATAGGTTAGGTTAGGTTATGTTAGGTTAGGTTAGGTTAGGTTAGGTTAGGTTAGGTTAGGTTATGTTAGGTTAGGTTAGGTTAGGTTAGGTCTTGTCGCAGCAACGTAAACAATGTCTATATCTATAATTACACCAAACTATGTCAACTCGTAGAACAATAGAATGGTCCTTAAATACGTCGTTGCCTCTCCCTGGTGTTCAATGTTGGCAGGCCTGATGTGTACTTAGTGTTGGTAGGCCTGATATGCTCATTGTTGACAGGCCTGATATACTCATTGTTGGTAAGCCTGATGTGTTGCTGCGTTCGAAAGCGGTGATTTGGACTTAAATACATGAAAATAAGGAATCAAATTAAATCATGTTTTAAGCTAAAATAACATAATTTCTATATCTTAGGGATAATAACACTGTTAATACTACTACTACTAATAGTAATACTACAATTACTACAACGACTAATATTAATAATACTGTAGTAATGCACTACTAACAATAAATAAAAATGGTTCCCTTTAGTGTGCGAAGATGGCCATCCCTAGGGCCACCTACGCCTGAATTTGTTTAATATGTCGCCAACACAACAACCACACCCTAAGTTAACGAGTTGCATGACCCAGTGTCAAGGAATAGTCCGAGAAGACCGGACAACTTACCAACTGCACTATTACCCCGGAACACGATTAACATCCATGTTCCCAATTATTACTGAACAGGCAGAAATTGAAATTGAAATATTTTATTGACCATAAAACTATTACATCAAAAGGGCTTGAGTCTGTTATTTCGAACCTTTAGATTCATTCGTATCGGTTTCATGTTCTGGATGGTACTGAGACAGTTTCAAACATGTGAAGCAGGCAGTACAGCAATAGCTGGCTGGGAGAGTTAACCAACTTTTGGGTGAGACTGTACATCGAACCTGGATTCACTACTAACAATACTACTACTACTACTAATAATAGTAATAATAATACACCTTTTCACATATCCGTTGAGACATTGTTACATAACTATTTGACAAATTTCATAACCGAATGACAGAACACATATCGAATGACAATCTGAAATAACTGTTCGTTCATGCTAACGGAAATGATTGACATAAGTTATGAAGTTGACAGACGTGAACAATAAACCGACAGTCTACATATAGTTTGAGAATGTAACAATTGGAGAATGAAATACCACCAACAGTTATTTTAGATTGTCATTCGATATGTGTTCTGCCATTCGGTTATGGAATTTGTCAAATAGTTATGTAACAATGTCTCAACGGATATGTGAAAAGGTGTAATAATAATAATAATAATAATATTATTATTATTATTATTTTAGTAGTATTACTATTGTTACTATTACTATTATCATTATTATTATTAAAAGTAGTAGTATTACTATTAGTAGTACTAGTAGTGGTGTATTAGTCAGCGTCTAAAAACATGAAACTTGGATGACGTCAGCCTTCGAATGTTATATGACGCTTCCTTCATAAATGCATTGTTAATACTGACTCGTGTTGGAAACATTTTAATTTTTATTTTTGTTACAAATATTTTGCGATTATAACTCGTTGTAATGTTCGTAGTCTTTTGCACTACATAAATGTTATATACCTGTAGATGTAAAACACTGAACTCCACGTATACTGTGTCAGAGGAGTAATTACATTTATATCTGACAACTGAGACAACATTTTCGAATTCAGGACTCGGGTTCGAATTGGTTTACGAAGCAAAGTCCACAAAGTTGAAGAGATTTCACGAAAAGCTTCGTTCAGACGATTTTTTTGCTTTCTTAAGCCACATAACATTACCAAATATAGAAAACCTCTCGTAATAAAAGCTGTCAAAGGATCGTTAGGTTAGGATACAGTAGGTTAGGTTAGGTTCGCGTCTTCCGAAAATTAAATGGCTTGGGATTGTTGTTTTGTTCAACAGTATTGCCTCCTCGAACTGCTTCATTCACAGCGAGACAAACTTGAGATTTTCCTCGTTCATCATCACTCAGTAGTGCACCGTCAGCGAATAGTGAACTCGGACGAGTGATGGTGTGAAGTGTTTTGACAAATTACTAACTGTGATACGACGATACTGTGGACTTTCTCTTCAGGCTTAGGACAAGAAAGAAGAGGTAAGTTACAATAGACCGAACATTTGATACATGTTGATAAATGACTGCTTTTAGAGCTTGTTTGTCCCGGGCAGTATCTTCCCATTGGTTCACCACCACTGAGGTAAACCAGGTCACTCTCTAGGTACCCCGGGATGATGAGGGCGACACGGAAGACATAAAGAACAGGAGTATCACTAATTAGCAGTTTACAATGTTCTCTTTATAGGACGTTTGGTTAGGTTAAGTTGAACTTTTAAATAAACACTTTTTAACACATTTGCCATAACTACGACAGTGTCTACTATAAAACACAGTTGTAATGATTTGGTTACTGAGGCTGTCAACAAGATCACTATTGTTGGCCGTTTTATCGAGATTTGATGTGCCTGTTTTAGCTGTAACGAAGAACATTTAAATATTCACTACTCGACGTGCTCACTGCATTAATGAGAGTTGGTGTTGCAGGTACGATGGACCCAAGCGGCAAGACTTGCTGAGCAGGTGGACACTATGGGCACTTTCTCCACCAGTATAAGGTAAGCGTCATGTGTACACTGTTTAATATTACTTTCATAAGTCAAGATTCAGCAGATGCCAACCTCAGAACTTCAATATTCATTTTTATATAGAGAGGTAGAACAAAAACAAATAAGAATACTCTACAGCGCATTCGTCGCAAATTTATTTTTTTCGAGTTGGTTTGATTTTTCGATTTCACTTAAAAGTACAATTCAGAGTGTAACCAATGAATTGAATATTTATTTTTATATACTAGGAAATAGAGAAAACGATAAGAGTACTTTATATATTGCATTTTCGTCGGGGATTTATATTTTTCGATTTATTTTGACTTTATATTTCGCAAAAGTAAGAGCAATTTGGGGGGTGGAGGGTGTTTAAGTTCTCACTTCACGAAACGAACTAAAATCGCTAAGCTAAAGGTAAGGTTAGATTAGGTTAGGTTAAGTAAACTCAAGTCAGGTCAAGTCAAGTCAAGTCGGGTCGGGTAGGGTCAGATCAGATGAGATCAGTTTCGTTCGGTTTGGGTTGGTCAGTTTATTACGTGGTTTTACCCACAATTTCCCTCGACTTCAAAATCCTACCGTGAGTTCCTACAGAAGCAACTGTGTAACATATCTAGTCTTTAAGTGTTTTATTGTGATTGATTTACCATTTGGTTAAGTATTTTGTATCACCAGAAAAGTTCATTGTACAACCAGACACGTAAGCAGAGGCCTCTTGAATCATATTAAAGTTGTCATGGAAATAATTGTTACACAGTAGCAGTGGTACCTATTGCCCTCCCTTAGGAACACCAGGGCCAGCCTCGATGTCAAGATTATCATAACTGGATGATGGTTAAGTATTTGTGGATTGTACAAAATTAACAACCATTCAGATGACGTATTTGTTGTACTTGTGAACACCAGATAGTAAACAGGACATAATGATACCAGTACGATCAGGGTCGACCAGGAGGGTCTAGGGTAGGGACTGGACGTCGCCCATTCACCCTATCCTGCTGGTAAATAAACAACGACGACCGGGAAAAAGGGAGGAGGGGAAGGAAACAAGGGAGAGGATGCAGGGAAGGAGAGGTCGTGGGAGAGAGAGAGGGGTGGAATGAAGGGAAGAGAAACGACAGGTGGTTTGCATCATTTGTTTGCGATGGTATGAGGGCAGCTGTTGCTGGTGGTGCTAATGTTAGTGCTCTTAGTGGTGGTGGTGGTGCTGATGGTGGTGCTCTTAGTGGTGGTGGTGCTGATGGTGGTGGTGGTGGTGCTAATGTTAGTGCTCTTAGTGGTGGTGGTGCTACTACTGGTGGTGGTGATGGTGGTGCTAATTTTAGTGCTCTTAGTGGTGGTGCTACTACTGGTGGTGGTGATGCTACTACTGGTGGTGTGTGATGGTGGTGTTACTACTGGTGGTGGTGATGGTGGTGCTACTACTGGTGGTGGTGGAGTGCAGGTGCTACCACCGGTGGTGGTGATGGTGGCGCCAATACCGGTGGTGGTGCATGATGGTTGTGCCACTACCGGTGGTGGTGATGCTACCACTGGTGGTGGTGATGGTGGTGCTACTAATGGTGGTGGTGATGCCACTACCGGTAGGTGATGATGACAGCTACTACTGGTGGTGATGCTAGTACTGGTGGTGGTGATGCTATGGTGCCACTAATGGTGGTGGTGGATGGCGGTGTTTCCACTGGTGGTGGGATGGTGGTGCTACTACTGGCGGTAGATGGTGGTGCTACTACTGGTGGTGGTGATGATGGTTGTGCTACAATTGGTAGGTGATGGTGGTGCTACTACTGGTGGTGGTGATGGTGGTGCCACTACTGCGGTGGTGATGGTGGTGCTACCAATGGTGGTGGTGGATGGTGTTGCTACTACTGGTGGTGGTGCTACTAATACCGGTGCTACTGGTGGTGCTACTAATGGTGGTGGTGATGACGCTGCTACTACTGGTGTTACTGGTGGTGCTACCACGGTGGTGGTGATGATGCTGCTACCACTGGTGGTGGTGCTACTACTACCGGTGCTACTGGTGGTGCAACTAATGGTGGTGGTGATGATGCTACTACTGGTGTTACTAGAAGTACTAATGGTGGTGGTGATGATGCTACTACTGGTGGTGGTGGATGGTGGTGCTACTACTGGTGTTACTGGTGGTGCTAATACTGGTGCTGCTACTACTGGTGTTACTGGTGGTGCTGCTACTACTGGTGTTACTGGTGGTGCTGCTACTACTGGTGTTACTGGTGGTGCTGCTACTACTGGTGTTACTGGTGGTGCTGCTACTACTGGTGTTACTGGTGGTGCTACCCTTGGTGCTACTTGTCTTGTGTCCATCTTATACACCTGTCCTCTTCTCAACCCCTATTTAATATTTTCTGTCCAGCCCCTTCACATATTTCTGTCCGTCTGTCTGTCTCTTCTGTATGCCGTCAAGCCCCTGCCTGTATTCCCGAGGTCTTCATGTAGATTCCCCTAGTGTGCGAATTAGCGTGAAATACATACATTCATTATTGACGACCAGGAACAGTGTGTGTGTGTGTGTGTGTGTGTGTGTGTGTGTGTGTGTGTGTAAGCTCCTTAAGGTCGACTAAGGCAGATGGTGTTAGGACCCTCTTAATACCTCCTTCATTCTCGAGTCTTCAGTAAATCTAAGTATAATGGAGCTTAATGTTAGTCAGTTGGTTGTTGCTGTTGCTAATGGTGTTTTTGTTGTTGCTGTTCCGGTGTTATTCTGCTGCTGAAGGCGATACAGCATCTTGTTTCAGCAGCTGTTACTGTTGTTAGTGGTGCTGTGTGTTTTTTTTATTGCTGCTGCTGCTATACTCGAGTGCTGCTGTTAAGTGATTTTGTTAATTTGATCCCAGTGTAGTGGTACTCATGCTGTTAGTATTGGTACTGAGGCTCGTACCGTCCCTAGCTGCAATTACAACTGCTATTGATGGTAGTCTTAATGCTGTGATTGTGGTATTATTGCAACTATAACAAGTACTACTACTACAACACGACTATTGTACTACTACTACTATTTTATTATTATTATTATTATTATTATTATTATTATTATTATTATTATTATTATTATTATTATTATTATTATTATCGTCGTCTCTAGTTATTTCATCATTACCATTACCAGACACGACACCTCCCCCTACCATTGCCGCCACAGCTGTTTCCTCTTTTCCTCCGCTTCTTTCTTTCCTTTCCTCCCTTCCTTTCTCCATCCCCTCTAATCTGCTGTAATCTACGCTAGCATGATAAAGCTCTAAACCCCTGATTAATGGCCAGAAAGAGAGAGAGAAGGAGTGAGAGAAGGAGAGAGAGAAGACCATTGTGATGAACTTTCTCTCTCAACACAAGGAAAGGTCAGTTGTTTAGAGATAATGATTAATTTTGCATTATTAACCATTTAGGTATTTTTGTTTTTTTTATAGATATTTAGTGTTTTATTTCTATATGGTGAGGTTTAATTGGTTTAGGTGGAGTATGAATGTTATAATTTCATATTTAGTGAAGAAAGTGACGAGATTAAGGCGAAATTGACCAGAATAAAACGAAAGGGGCAAAGATTACAAATAATTTCTGTGGTTCATCAGGTGGCTTTTGTTGGTATAGATTCCACCATGTCTTTACTGGGAGGAAATTGATTAATATAAGTGTGTCATGACTTATAAATTGAACGTCTGTAAATTCATGTTTTTGCAGATACAGTACAGTGTGGTATTGCATTAGGTTACACTGTCTGTCTTTGCTATATGTGTTTATTTAATGCTGCCAATATAACTCTTAACTGACTGTATCAGTGATTTGTATTCATTACTGTATATCTCTATAGCCTAATGCCTTCGGACAACCTGGGAATGATATATGGTGAGGTAAATGTGTCTCAACCCTGAATGTTCTTTTAACTGATCAAAATTATTTATTCAGGAATACGTTCGCAGTATGTTTGTAAAAGAAAAGATAACATAGTTGGTAGAAAAGATATTTGGATCATAATTTCTAAGTCTTCTTTGTTCTTCTTTTTGAATAGAAGTATCACAAAGACATTGTTCCAGCCTTCTCGAGAGTTTCTTTCTCTAATGCATTTTGTGGACAGTTTTGTGGAGATCTTTACAATTTCTCTCTCTCGTCCTTCATCATATCGATCGACACTTCATATTCACCTGATGCTTTTCTATACTTCATGTTAGTTGACTATGTGACTTAACTTCTCATGTGGCGCCTCAGCAGTGTCTTATGGTCGTTCAGTCTTAACACATCCTCATCGTCTCCAATAGTGATCTACGTTCTTGACAATGATACGTTTATTTCAATAGTTGGGAGAACAAGTAAGGCTTCCAAATATCACCGTAACGCAGATCATTCACAGGGTGTAGTCTGGAGTTGCATTATGATTGACCACTCTGTCTCGTGTTTAATAGTAATGTTTTTTCTTGTAACATAAATTAATGATTAAGAACTTCGTGGAATTTCCTTCTTAAGCACAATTAAAATACTGTTTATGTTATTCAATTTTCTTTTTTTTTCTTTTTTTTTTCTTTTTAAAGTTTAGTGTATTGTTGTTATATTTAAATTATTTTCGTATTTAATTTTCTTCCTACAATATGAGATTTTTGGTGACTAGTTATTTTTGACTCTGTGTGTGTGTGTGTGTGTGTGTGTGTGTGTGTGTGTGTGTGTGTGTGTGTGTGTGTGTGTGTGTGTGTGTGTGTGTGTGTGTGTGTGTGTGTGTTCCGTCACTGTAACTTATAACTTTCCTGTTTACATTTTAGTACATATTTGATTATTAGAGGATTATCAAGTACGTCTTCTAATGTACTAACTCAACTCTTTAACTATAAACCGGTTGAGTGTTTTCTGAGACCTTTTGCATAAGTAGAAGTCTCTCTTGTTCCTGTGACCCGCTGTTACACACACTATTAACGAGAGAGATGAGCTGCCTCCAGTCAATGATGGTCCCGTGATGACCTGTCTAACACCTTTTTAAATATATCAATGAACTATTTGAATTTTTT